ATTTGAACAGTAAATTACCGGCCGATCGCCAAAAGGCATGCTTTCTATCCATTGACCAGCAGTTAGATGTCTGGCGCCGGGCGTTGACTGACAACGGCTTTACTGTAGATGTGTTTACAGTGGCTGAAGACACCTTTACAATGGCTCGTGAGCACGCAATTGGTGTGTAATATTTACCATGTTAATTGTTGTGTAAGTACCATGCTCATTTTGTTGTTTTACAATTTTATATTAGCCTCGTTTCCTGTTATTATGTCTATCTATAAGACATTCTTCGAGACCAACGAAGAGTTTGACAGAGAATGCGGTGATTTGTCGGATGTTATATTTGATGCGATGTGTTATCCAGTGGCCGATCGGCCCAACCCTAACGCGTGGACACAATTTCTGGCCAATGAGAACATCACTGAAGTGGTCTATAGGGCACAACTGTTAACGCTTGTGGCCCACAAAAAATGATGATAATTATATCAACAACAAAAAAGTTATAATCCTAAATAAACTTTATAAAATATTCAAGTATACTGTATATAATTTGAGTAAAAATAAACAACAAAATATTTAAATTATTTATTAAATTCAAAGTACGTAAGACTTACATTAAATTCAAAGTAATAGTTTTGAATTATTTGTCTTTAATGATAGTAATTCTTTGTTTTAATGATAATAACTTTATAGTAAATTATTACATTAAAAAATTTATTTACAACTAATTCTACAATTGTTTAAGTGTGTGCTCTCGCATTTGTATAATTAGCTTGTGCAAATTATTTTTAATCAAATGTATGCTATATTTAAATATGTTGCGTTACTCTCAAACTTAAATTGTATTTTATTAAAATAAAATTTATTATGGTTGTTTTTGAATTAAAATAAAATTTTTTAGTATATTAAATTTTTAAAGCAAGTAGGTTATATATAGGCAATATATAAGTGACAATAATTGCGCGATAATTTATTTAACTTAAAATAAAGTATAATTAATAATTATATAACTATAAAATATAGATTTATGAACTGCTAAAGTTAGTTATATGCTCAAATTATTTGATAAATATACCTTATTTGTAATTTATTTTTTAAGGACAGTAGTCCTAAGATTTCCATGTTCAATTTATTATCAGAAATATTATCTATATAAATGTAAATCAAGTATATCAGGAATATTTTGGTAAAATGTAAGTGTACTAAATACAATAAATAACAGATGTAAAGTTGTGAACTTTTTATCACGTATTTCTCAAACAATAAGCATGGTCATTTAAGTATATTATGGGTAAAAATTGCTCACCTATAAAAAATAAGTCGATTTTACATAATCCATTAAAACTCAAAACAGTTAACATTAAAAGAAAACTTTTAAACTAACTGTAAATTAACAATGTTCAAAATACTTTTGATTTTCAGTCTGTGCTACGTTTACAGCGCCAATATTGTACCCCATTTAAGCAATCTGGGAGCAAACTACCCTGATCCCGACGCACCCGCACCCACTCCCGCGGCCCTCAACTGTATGTTTGATAAAAAGGGTGATCAGGAGAGGGCCTGTGCTGTGAACGCCTACAACCACTGGCACACCGTTGAGCCCCATTCAAAGGCCTGGTGTTGCGATTCATACGAGTATTTAGACTGTGTTGGAAAGATTGCTGCCGATAAACACGGGGTAAATTGAATTATTATGTTTTAAATCCCTAAGCTGTGGTTCAGTCACACAAAAATAGAAATTCAGAGTCTGATTAATTTAACTATGACTGGATAGGTAAGATGAGCAAGGTGTCTATGTTAGTAGCAAATTATTGCTCATAAT